CTTTGATCCAAGCTAATATTGTCTTAACTATATAATTACAGTAATCTTCCAGCTTGTTTGCCTGCTACACACTCTGACACCTCCTTAAATTCCCACATAGCAGCCATGGCGAACCACAGCTCTTCAAGTATGGACCCTAGGTGAACCACATGATGCTGTTGCTTTCCCCCTTGGTCCAACTAGGCTGACCTCTAATCGATCCCCGCCCCCTTATTTCTATTTTGCCTATGGCTGTTTAGCCTGCTTGTATGCCTACAGTGCCTGAAGAGGCCAGAAGAGGGCGCCACGTTCTCTGGTCCTTGAGCTGCCTGCCAGGTATCCACTGAGCACCAATCCAGCGCCTGCCGATTCTTACTGTTCAGCTTGAGGTTGTCTGTGCCTGGTACACCCTTCCATTCAATCAACATACGACATATCCTTTTAATTCGCTTAATTCCAAATGCCAGCCCTATGGAGGCATTTCTAACTGTCCTCCCCAAAAGAATATTTGGGGCTGGGGGGGGCACAGTTCAACTTACAAAGGGCTCATTTAACATGCAGGAAGCCCAGAGCTCAACCCCCATCACAGCATGAACCCAGCTGTGATGGCACATACATGTAGGACCAGGAGCTCAAAGTCATCCTTGGCTACAGCAAGTTCAAGTCTTCCTGGACTACATACGTGAGAATGTATCTCAATCCCCAACTCCAAATGAATTTGCTTCTCTTCCTTTACGCTAAGTCTATGCTATAGAAGCACCGATTTGCCTTGATTCTGTCTCTTTGTCTAGAAAGTTAGGGGAAACTTTTTTCTTCACTGCTATATATATCCTGAAGGGTTTGGCAAGGCCTAGCAATACTGCCTGGTATTAAAATATTATTAAGAGATTAGCCGGGCGGTGGTGGCGCACGCCTTTAATCCCAGCACTCAGGAGGCAGAGGCAGGCAGATCTCTGTGAGTTCGAGGCCAGCCTGGTCTAGTTCCAGCTAGTTCCAAGACAGGAATCAAAAAAAAAAAAAAAAAAAAAGAAGAAGCTATGGAGAAACCCTGTCTTGAAAAATCAAAAAAAAAAAAAAAAAAAAAA